TATCATCAATCCAGGAAGAACTTTGTTGTGGAATAAAAGAGCACACCTGCACCTCTCTGAAAGGGAGAGTGCCGAAAGCCCAGGGATGTGTCTCCCAGAGCTTCCCCACCTTCCCTTTCAGGGATTAACTCCATGATTCACCCTGTGGTTTGAGAAGTGACCTTTGATGTCTGCCCCAGGCAGGGCCAGGAGCTGCACATGACCAAACCCACAGTGAAGGCAGGTTATTGCTCTGAAGCTGTCCCAGACATCCAGAAGGACCCTCTCTCACAGGGATTCCAACATCCAAGGCCATCCATGGCCACATGGGCAAAGGCTCCACACTCTCTGAAGCACTCTGGAAAAAATAGATGCCCTTTATTTCCCGTTGGCAAACTAAAATCATGGAGGAAAACTGTTTAATATAAAAACATCTGACAAAGCACCTCCAGGATGTATTTTTTTGCATCAAAGAAGTAGCTCTTGGCAACAGGCTCGTTCCTCCGACCAGAAGTTTTAGCCAAACCCTGATTGTTCTAGACTGCACAGGGTTAGACAAGCCAGCAAGCTTACAGTTAAAAATGAAAGAGAAAAGAAACTAAAACCATCACTGGCCCAAATAAACATCTGTCTGTGATTAAACTGGATGCACAGAGATGTTCTGCCTGCTTTTTAATGGATCTGTTTCTGCAGGACGGGAGGAAGAAAGGCTGAAAAGGCTCCAGGGTGCTGCTGGGTCAGACCCAACCTGCAGCTCCCAGCCCACGGTGGGACACAGAGTCAATCCTCAAAAAGTAACAAAACCAACATTTCCCCCCCCCAGAAGAAATTGCTGCCCTATTAATGAGAAAAATCTCTTTTTTTTTCTCCTCCCAGGTAGTTCCACCATCTCTCCCCAGGCCGGAAAGGGCCATGTTTGCCCAGTTGCCACACGTATCCGCCTGACATATTTAACAGGCTTTTTTTTTTTCCTACTCCCAACACACAGGATCTTCATAAATTTCCTTGGTAGCATAAATCCTGCAGCCTGTTATTTCTGGGGGGGGAAGAGGAAGAGAGACGTTCACTTTCTCCATTCAGTGGGTTTTAAAATATGCTTCCTTAAGTTCATCCTAAATATTGCTGGAAGCAGAAAAAACCCTCTGGCTCTCGCTTGGAGCCGTGGCATCACTTCAGCAGGGCTGAGTCACCAGCTGGGATGGACAGGCATGTTCCTGCCTTCTTCCTCCCTCTGGAGGTACCCTGCTTCCCAAATCCAACACCCCCAATCCCACCACTGCCCTGTGAAATCTTCTCCATCTTCCCTGGCCTTGAAAAAAAAAAAAAAAATCAGAAATAATTTCAATAAGTTCCAGCCCATTCAGTCTCTTTGTTTACAATTCACTTAAGAGTTGGACTCCATGATCCTTGTGGGTCCCTTCCAACTCAGAATATTCTGTAACTCGATTTCTTCTCTCTGTTAATTCCCAATTATCCTCCACCAGCATCAGACTAAGCCACCAAGCAGAGCTCACTGCCACATCATCCTCTGGACCTCAGCAGAGCTGCTGGGAATAGACTCAACCTGTGCTTCCACTTTCAGGTGGGAAACAACTTCCCACAGCTTTGGAATGTGGAGAGAATTCATTCCTCCTCCAACAAACCAACTCATCCTTTCTTCTTTTGGATGCACATTTTCAGCTATAAATGGGTTCACCAGCAGAGTTTTAGCACAGGGGAAGTGAAATGATTTCAAAGTTTAGGAAAAAAAATAATAGTATTTTTGGAAAAAATAAACCAGCACCTTCCCTGGGGATGGCCAAGGCAGGACAGAGACCTGCAGGAGGATCCCGAGCTGCAAGACCACCTTTTGCCCTCCTACCTGTGCTCAACCCTTCCCCTCCTGCACAGTCCTTGGGACTTCCAGAATTTAATGCCACCACTACCAAGAACTCTGGTGGCTGCTGGCAGGAATTCATGGGGCTTTTCCAGGTGCTGTGCAAGAGGAGAGGGGCTATTCCATGGTGTTTAAGAGAGGGTCCTTCCCAGGGATGGTGAGGGACAGCCCTGTGGGACTGAGGGGAAGGCAGGCAATCCCAAAGCCCACAACATCTGCTCCAGCACGTCCCCACCATCCCAAACCAGTTCCCGCAGCAGCAGCACATCCCTCTACAAGCCTGGCAAGTCTAACGGGTACAGCAGCTTCTTGGCATGTGCTGGAGGAGCCAAGTCTGAGGGGAAGGGAAAAAAAAAAAATTACTACAAATGTTCCACCAATTATGAGTCACGAGGCTGAGCTTTTGTTCCTGCCTTGCTGGATTTTGCCCTTTCCCTGGTATTTCCCCGGCTCCGGCTGGGAGCCGCGGGGACGCCAAAACAGGCCATGGGTCTGCCAGCTCCTGGGGGACAGGCACAGGGAACCACCTGGGTTAGGAATACAACCCCCAAAACAGCAGGTTTTCTTCAGCTCTGCTCCCCAGGCAGAAATAAATCTAATGAGGGAAAGCTGGAGCCCCTCTTTGTACTCTCACGGGCCTGAATGTGACACTGCTCAGGAGATGGAAACTTCAGGGTCAGACACCTCCAAGTGCCTTTTCCCAGCAACCCAGATCTTCCCAAGCCACTGCACCTCACTCAGGAAACAGGAGCATCCCTAATCCAAGGGAAATGCTGCGGTTGGACACTGATCCTTGAACAGACAACTTCATTTCATGACCCAAATACTCTGAACCTCAGATGAAGAGGGCTCTGAGGTATCATCCACGGATCCAGGTCACCACACAGGTCACATCCACCCAACTATCCACAACCTGTGCTTCCAGTTAGCACTGGCTGTTCCTCAGAATTTTATAGCAAGCCTGCTGGTTCACTGAAGACTCTTCCTCTTAAAAGTGTTATTATGACCATGAAAGGTTCTACTTCAAAAAGAGTCTGGTTTTTTTATAAAATTTCTACATATGACAGAGATCATCTTTTGCCTTCATGGTAAAACTTCCTGTTTAGAAGTTCATCAAGCAAAGGACCAACAGAAGAAGAATGGTTCTCTTTGTTATCCAAAATTGAATTTTGTGGTCTTAGTAGGAAAAGCCTTTTTGATGATCAAAGCTGGAGCAATAAATAGTAGTGGCTTGATGCAAGATCCAAAATGTACTTATTTTTGGAAGAGGAGTTAAATGCACACCGAGCTCCTTTGGTACACAAGAGGAGGAAGGGAAGACCACGTGCTTTGTGTACCATTTCCACAGACCTACACTTCAAGCAGACCTATTAAATAAGTTGAAATGGAGAATAAACAAACTGAAACGTGGCAGGTAGACTGGAGCCTAAGTGGGTTTTTCCCTTTTACCTCCCTGTGATGACACGTATGGGTTAATTCAGCAGAGCTCTTATCCTCTTTCAGCAATTGTGAGCACTGGGGAAAAATAAATCACCCAGCCCCAGACTCTTATTAAAAGTTACACCACTGGAAACGGCACAGGGGGAGCAGAGGGATCCGATTTCATACAATCTCAGTCACATGTTATCATTATATTGTTCGAGGAAAAGTTAAAAATCCCTCCTCTATTCCAGAAAACCCACCAGATGTCCCATAAAGACTCGGCCGTGAGAGAAGCTGAGCCATTCCATCCTCAGGAACCCCCCGTTCTCCAACCCGGCCGCTCTAATTAACGACAATTATCAAGTTACGATAAAAGCCACGGGCACGGGGAGCCTTTACGGACGCGCTTCCAGCCCCGGGAATGTTTGTTAGGAATTGCAAACACACATTTATTACAGCACAGGCCTGAACGATCCAAGGCCTGGCTATCAATTGTTCCCCTGCTATGGACACTTGGCAGCACAACAAAAGCCGGGCGGGCGGCACGGCTGGATCCGGCACGCGGCAGCACCGCCGGCCCACCACGGCTGGAGGACCTTAAAGGAGAAGGGAAAATCCCTGGAAGGAAATGTGCCACCACACCACGGCACTGCTGCCTGAACGCTCTCTGGAGAGCTGCAGAGTCGGGATCGGCCTGAACGTCCCAAGGAAGGCGCAGGTCTCAACAAACTGTCCATAAGCTCTTGCAGGTGGAGAACACCAAGAGAAAAGCCACAGCTAAGGGACCAGTGCCCCAGTGGTCCCCTCCACCACCACCAACTTACAGCATCCCCAGAGAGAGCAGCAAATTCAATCCATGTGCTCAGCAATCTGGCAATTGGGCACCGAGGAGCCCAATCCTACCCCACCACAGTCGCTGAAGGAGGCATGTGGGGCCCCACCAAGACCAAGGTTTGTCTTCCTCCATCTCAGCTCTCAGACCATTAACCAGCCAAAGAAATTAAACCTCATCCTGTAGACAGGCCCCTCCTATCTCCTACATGGTCAGCCCCCCGCCTGGGATGAGACACCAAGGAGAAAGATGTGGAACCATCACTGCAGCCAGAGCCCAACGTGGAACCAAGGAAAGCCCCAACTCTACCTGCTGTCAAGTAAAACCACCCCAGGCCTCACAGAGCCCCATTAAATGAATGAAAGGTTGCAGGGGTGGGGCAGAGCAAAAACCAGGACCTAATTAAGCCAAGCTTTGTTCAGGAGCTTCAATGGCACCATAGCTGGGAGCCTGCTCATGAAAGCAGGGATTGCACCGCGGGGCCAGGGCCCAACAGGTAACACAAGCCGGACGGACTCGGCAAGAACCACCACAAGGCAGCATCATTTGGAATGGCCTCACTGCTCCTGCCATGGAAATGGGGAGGGTGTACAGCCCCACCCCACAGCAGCCCATGGCCCTGGAGCCTGGGAGAGGTCCAGGTGGCTTCCACAAAGGACACACGTGGCCACTTCCCAAACGTCCCCGCTCGTCCCACGAACGGCACCTTATCACAACCTGCAGAGCGCTGGTGTCTCTGACCAACCAACTCAAGTAACTGCTCTCTTCTCCCTCCCTTTCACACCAAGACCACAAACCAACAGCAGGACCATACCCCCCACACCCTCCTGCTGTGCTGCCCCAGCTCCCAGCTCAAACAACAGGGGCGGGAAGGCACAAACATCTGCCAACCTGAGAAATCTCCGGGCGTGACGTTGGGCGAGTTTGTAGCCTCTGTTTCAGTGTAAGACAACGTGGAATCTGATAGATCTGGAAAAAAAAAAAAAAAAAAGGCACTTTTTAGTCCTCCTGTGTTTGCCAGGGCTACATGACCACCAGTGGCTCTCCAGCTTCCCACCACCTCCCTGAGAGAAACTCTCCACCTAGCCAGAAAGCAACGATTAACTTTGTAGCTCCACCACGCAAATGCAAACTCTGAACTGCCTCCACCACAAAAATAACTCCAGTTAAGTTGATCAAACAAGTAGGAACTTGGTGCTTACTGGATAAAGTTACATTAAGCCTCTAAACAAGTCAGAGTTACTATACTTAATTATCACCATTAAAATTCTTGAAGCTGTTTATTCTTGCTTCCTTCCTTCCTTCCTCTTTGCTGAAGCGAAGGAAACTTTGTTTTAACAAGTTAAGAGTCTTTGTTATTCTCTCTTGCTTACACCCCTCTAATTAAGTGCTCAACTGTTTGCTCACAGATTAACTATTATTTTTCCAATCAAACAAGCCAGTGAAGCAAATTTCAGTCCCTGGTTGTTGTTTTAATAAAGTCACGTGCTGCCCACTATCATCTCTCCCTGCAGCACAAGCAGTTTCCAAAGGGAATTAACTTGGAAGGGGGAGCGCAGGGAGGGACAACTCCTTTTTTTTTTTTTCTGCCTCCACACCTAACAAAAATAGGAAAAAAAAAATCCCACAAGCAGCCCGTTTGGCTTTGCAGGACACCCAGGTCACGGCCCTGTGGTGATGAAGGCACCAGTCCCTCGGACAGGCACGGTGCCCATGTGGCTGCACCGCAGGGAGACGCCAGGGCAGGGACTCACCTTTGGCACAGGACAGCTCCCGCCTTCCCTCGGGGCTGGGTGGGACAGGCAGGAACACTGTCCCATTCCTATCACCCTGCCAAACCCTGTCTGCCTCCTCCCTGATGGGGAGCAAGAGTGGCTCACCTGGGTCACTACGCCCAGGAGTCAGAGGCACCGGCCACAGACGAAGGGAGAAATCCCACAGCTGCACTGATCCCAGCAAAAAACCCACAGGGGACAGGGCATTACTCCCTTCTTTCCCACATCTTTGCTTCCCATTTAACTGAGCAAGAAGCAGGCACTGAGAAAGATGGGCAGGATGCAGTGATGCCAACTTGAAACATCTCCAAGCCAATGTCCAGCACACAGGACCAGGATCCAAGGCTGCCAGGCTCCCCAGCACCCTTCACTGCGTGCCCAGGTACCCACCCCAGCCACTTTCACTACCTTTGCTTTGAAAACCTCCCACAATTCACCAGGAAAAGTCATACCCCACTCAGAAATTACACGGTGCTGAGTTTCAAAGGCTTTACATCTCATTGTAATGAGCAGAGGAAAGGTAAGAGCTGGTTCCTCCAAGGTGCAGAGCAGCCAGGACTTTATGGAAATGGCACCCAGGAGCTCCCACTCCCCCTCTGCTCCATCATCCCACAGATTACACACGCAGACAAAACATGACGTCTGGTAACCTTTCATTACGCCTTCATTAAAAATAGAGCTTCATATTATTTTGGAAAATATGCATGTGTCTACATGGTAATTTGGGAGGATAAACTGACATCCATTTACTTCTTAAAGCCTGTCAGGTGATGCTTGCTCAGAAATAATGAGGAGCCATAAAATCCCAACTTGTTGGCTTTTGCCTGACATGCCAGGGAGGGCTGTCTCAGAACCAACACCGGGACTGCACCATGAAAGAGTTCTCGGGACATCAAAAGAGGGAAAACACGTACCCAGTGGCTTTTGCTCATCATTAGGAGACAGCCGAGAGTAGGGAGGTGGTGGAGACTCTGGAAAAACAAAACTGTAGGTTAGTGCTGTGCTCAGTTTATCAACAAACCCTCCCGCTTTCTCTCCTGGGGTAGGAACTCTCCCAAGGTTAAAAAAACCACTTGGAAGCAACTGGAGACCAAGAGTTTTCCCAATTTTTGAGGAATAGGGGGGGGGGTTCCACCTTGACCATTCAAACTGGGCTTTACTACTGAAAACGCTGCAAGTGTCCCCTACACCCCTGTCCCATATCCATGCCTGGACACCCAGTTTGAACCACACAAATCATGATGGTGCTTCCCAAAGAACAAGGTTTCCATCAACTGCCTTGGGAGACAACCTTCCAACCATGGCTCCAACACACATGGACTTAACAAGAGCTCCCCAAACACACAACTACTGAAAGAGGGTGTTGGGTGATGAAAAGATGCTCCTCTCTTGGCCCATGAAGGCTGACACCAGAGCCAGGCTGGCTTCAGCCAACAAGCCACCAAATTCTGGTCCCTCCCAACAAAGCCCCTGGCACATGAGTGGCTCAGCAGCAGATCCATGACCCTGCTCACCCCCACCTCCATCCCACAAAGCTCCTGAGCACACGCTCAGCTTTAGGCAGCAGGACTGCAGTAGTCATGTGCTCCAAGTTCAGCAAGTCCTCAGAAGTGCTTTGCTGAATCAGGTCATTCAACTGGTTCTTGCTGTCCTTGTAAGGGTCAAGACCATGCAAAAGGCTGATGAAGGCCCTTCATTACTCCACGTCGTGACAAGAGGGTTTTTTTTTTCTTTTCCACAATATGACAATGATCTGTTTCTTGAATTATAACTTGCCAAAACTGAGTGAGCAGCCAGCTGGGCTAAGCCATGGCACCAGCACTGAGCAGGCACCGACTTCAGTGAGAAATTGTACTGAAAATCAATGGCATCACATTAACCCCAGACACCCAAAACACGAGTGTGCTCCTCAGCTCCCACCCTGATCTGAAAGCACTCGGCCAACAACTGCAGCTCAGCTTGGGTGAGTTCAAAGAGAACCTCAGCGTTCCCCATGGGATGGCTTTAGGGTCATCTACTGCTTGTAAGAAAAGGCTCCCCATCTCCCCTAACGGAGCAGGATGCTCTTCTCACAGGGGGCTTAAGAGTCCCAAAAATAAAAAATAATGGTGCCACAGTCCCCATGTGGATGTAACAGCCCGACCTGTGCCGTGCTGGTCCCAGCTGCTGCCACGGGGGTCTTCTTCAGAGCACCTCGCTGCCTTCACACCCCCCAGCAAACCGGGTGGGAAACACGAACGCGGATGATCCCTGCAGGGAGCCACTTGTGGAAAAGGGCACCAGGGCCTTTTCTTGGCTCCTGCCACCAGCGCCCAGCCGGCGCGGGTGGGGCCTGGCACAGTCACCCATTATCAAAGCGATAAGGGGCCGCTTGATAACAGCTCTGCTTTCTACTACTCCCAGCACAGGGCTGGCAGCCGCACACGGCTGGGAAAACCACCACGGCTGCAGCAAAGTCACCGGGAAACTTCGCTCGTTTCTAAAATAAACGCCCCGTTCTTACAAACGCAACTCTAATCCAACTGGAGTAAAAAAGCTGCCTCCAGCCTCTAGCGACCTTCGGGGGAAGCACGCCCAGCAGAGAAGTTTCTTTGAAAGAAATGATGCAAAGCACAAAGCGAGGCGGGAGCCCAGACTGCAAAATAAGACAGAAAATCCAAGTTCTTGCCAAAAAAAGGGACCATCAGCATCAGAGCGGTTTGGGTTAGGGTTGGAAGGGACCTTAAAGATCACCTCGTTCAACCCCCTGCCATGGGCAGGGACACCTTCCACTAGCCCAGGTTGCTCCAAGCCCCATCCAACTTGGCCTTTAACACTTCCAGGGATGGGGCAGCCACAGCTTCTCTGGGCAACCTGTGCCAGGGCCTCCCCACCCTCACAGGGAAGACTTTCTTCCTAAGATCCCACTCAATGCTACCCTCTGTCAGCACGAATCCAACTGTCCAGTTTTGTCGCAGAGTTTTAGTCCAGCCCTGTAAGTATCACTTCGATTTCTGCACCTCAACCATGAGCACGCCTCTGCTCCATTTAACTGCTCCCAGCTCACATGGAAACTCCCATCGTGCGCTGCTGGGAGAAACACAAAACCCTCGAGAAAACCAAACGCACTCCTTGAAAACGCTCACAATCTGCCTACGCTAAAAAAAAAAACCGAGAAACCCCCGAGAAATGCAGGAGCCCTGGTTCCCCCGCGGGTTGGGGGATCCCCGCGGTGGGGGCATCCCCGCAGCCCCCCCCGAGGCGCCCGGCGGGTCCTGCGGCTTTAAGCCGGCGGCGGTGACCGCCCGGCTCCGATACGGGCGAGCCAGGCTGGCGCCAGCGGGATGGAGCCGCCGATTATCGCCCCTCCGGCTCCCAGAGCGCGGGGAAACTCCGCGGGAAGGGGAAAAAAAAAAAAAAAAGGAAATAAAAAGAGAAAGGGCTTTTTACGCACAACTGGAACCGCTGTCGGCAGGGGAGCGGGGGATGCCCGGCGGGGACCCCGCGCCAGGCGCATCTCCCCCCGGGCATCCCGCGGGGCCGGGGCAGCGCTGATCCACGAGGGTTCAGATAAGCCCAGGAAGGGCCCCGAACCCCCAAATCGGTGGGTGTTTTCGGGGGGTAAACCCAACTCGCCGCCGCTCACCTGGCCCACAGAGGCGGCTGAAGTGGTAGGGGTTGCAGCAGACGGTGGGTCCGTCGGCGACGCCGAAGCTCTGGCACTCGCAGAGGGGCTTCAGCTCGGCGGGGTGCTGCAGGTCGGGCCAGCGGAACAGCTTGCCCAGGAGGAGGTGCGGGGGCGCCGCCAGGCCCCCCAGGCGCACCTCGGTGCGGGCCACCAGGACGCAGCCTCCGGGCATCCCCCCGCGGGACTCCACCGCCTCCAGCAGGCTGTCCAGCGAGCGCTCCTTCAGCCGCTTCAGCAGCGAGTAGGTGACGGCCTTCAGCTCCTGCTCCAGCAGCAGCAGCCGCGCCCGCGCCTCCCGGCCCCGTCGCTCCGGGGAGCCGCCGTCGGCCGCGCCGTCGGGGCCGGAGGGGGCGGCGGCGGCGGCGGGGGGTGGCTGGGGGCCGCCCGGCTCTCGCTCCGAGAACAGGCAGCAGGTCACGGTCCGGCCGTCGCTCTCCGGGGCCCCGGCGGGGTTGCGGAGCCGGGCCCCGCGCCGCTCCGCCATGGGGTCCCCGCGCGGCGCCGCCTCGCCCCGCTCCTCCGCCTCCCGCAGCAGCAGCGAGCGCGCTACCGAGGGGCTCCTCTCCGCGATCTTGCAGCTCCCGCCGGCTCCGAGGTCGTGGTGGCCCGAGCTCCTGGCGCTCCCATCTCCGCCGTCCCTGTCCGGAATGACGCGGCTCCTCCAAAGTCGCCGCACCAGCCCTGAGCGTTTGGACCTGAACATACGACCCGCGGGCGGCCGGGGGGTCGCGTCGCTCTCCGCCGCTTCCCCCCCGCCCCGCGCCCTCCTCCGCGGGGCTCCTCGCTCCGCCGCCGGCTCTATCTCATGGCAGCCCCGGCGCAGCCCGGAGTCCCCGCGGCGCTGCCCAGCGGCTCTCGGAGCGCACCATGGGGGGGGCGGCGGGGCGGCGCGGGCATAGACGGCGCCGCGGGGGCCGCTCCCGTGGCGGCGCTGGGGCTCGGGCGCGCCGCGCCGTGCCCTACATCGGCTGCCAACGCCGGGCCGGGCGGGGAGCGGCGGCGGCGGCCGGGGGGAGCCCGGGGCAACCCCGCGGCCGCTCCACCGTACGAGGTCGCGGGGTGTGGGTGCTGCCCGGCGCCGGGGTTTTCCCCCCTTCGGCCAAAAATAGTTAAAAAGAAAAAAAAAATATAGAGGGGAAAAAAAATTGAAAAAAAAAAAGAAAAAAAGAGTAAAAGAAAAAAACCAAACTAGGAAGAAAAAAAACGGGAAGAAAAATAGGAAGGAAAAATAGAAAATAGGAAGAAAGTGGGAAGAAAATTAGGAAGAAAATAGGAAGGCAAAAATAGTAAAAGAAAAAATTTTAAAAAGACTAAAAAAAATAGCAAAGAAATAAAAAAAAATTAGTAAAGAAATAGTAAAAAAAAAATAGTGAAAAAAGGACAAAAAATAATAGCGAAAAAATTTAAAAAAAAAAAGGGGGGGGAGGAAATACACCCGAAGAAATAAATCAGACACGCGAAGAATCAGCAGCAGCAGCAGCAGCAGAAGAACAGCCCGGTGTCAGCGCGTCCCTCGTCCGCATCGCAGGGCGCGGCCCCGGCCCGGCGGGTCCGTGCGCGGCTCCCGGGGCCGCCGCCGCCCGCTCGCGCCCGCCCGCCCCTCGCCGGCTTTTGTGTGGCCGGGGCGCGCGCGCGGGGCCCCCTCGCGAGCGGCGCCGCCATTGGCTGCCGCCCCATCATGTGCCAGTCTAGACAGCGCGGCGGCCCCGAGCGCCACCGGCCCCGCGCGCGCCCCGCCCCGGCCCCGCCGCGCCTTAAAGGCACCGCGCGCCCCGCGGCGTCGCCCGCCGCCCCGCGCGCCAACCCGCGCGGCCCACGCGCGCGCCCGCCCACGCACGCCGCTCCCCGGGTGCCCTCCGAGCGCAGCCCCGCGGGGATGCGGCGGCGGCGGTGGCGGGTGGGAATGTGGCGAGGGAAAATAGGTCACGGCGCGGCGGGGGTTAATGGCGCTCACGGCTCGTCCCCCCGCCGGACACGCCCCCGCCGTGCGGCGCCTTGGCGGCCCTGCCAAAAGTTCAGGCCCGTCGCGCCCCCATTGGCCCGCGCCCGCGTGACGCGCGGCGCCGCGCGCCGCCCATTGGTGGAGGCGCGGGGGAGGCCCCGCCCCCTTCTCCCACCCCGCAGTGCCCGTGAATGGAGCGGCGCGCGCGGGGTCCGCGGGGACGGGACGGGGGGACGGGGGGATAACGGGGAGATAACGGGGGGATAACGGGGGGCAGTGGGGGGCAAAAGGGACGGGAGCGGCGGCTCCGTGGCGGGGGGAACCCCCCCTCACGCGGCCACGGCGAGAGGTGCCCGTGGGAAGCGCAGTGTGAGCGTGGTACCCCCCAAACATCCTCCGGGTCGGACCCTCCCCTAAACACCACCCCCCCCAGCAACCCCCCGACAATATAAAATAAATTAAACACCTAAATCAGCGATTCCCACCCAGCCTGAGTACTTCACTCACGAGCAAAAGTAAATCTGGGCAGTTAATTCTCCATCGGTTAAAGGAAAAACACCCCAAAACCAAACCAATAAAATCATTTCAACCAACAAATCCTGGACAACCTGAATGGCCAGGGAAAATTTTCTCTCGGAGTCTTTGAGTGGCTTTTTCCATCCTTGGAGGCTTCTGTCCAAATTTCTGTCACATTTCCCCAAACCTGCCCTAATACACCCAAGAACATCATTTAAATATGGATAAAAACAGTACTGTTTTTTTTAATGGAAAACTTAATCAGTGTAACATTAGGGATCTCCAAATACTCCATTTAGAATCAATACTCTGTGTGCCACCGAGGTTTGCACCAACATAATTACAGTATGAAATAGGCCTTATGACTTTGGGGTCACTTCTGCCCCTTCTGACCTTTTAGGACCAGGGGCAAAGCTCCTTTTTCCCTGCCATTTTTGGGTGAGTTTGAGGAAACCTGTGGTTTGCCTGGTTAAAAATGTCAAAAATCATGTCAAACCTGTAAGGGACCTGCTGCCTCTGCCATTGGGTTCCAAACTGCTCTGGCCAAGGGATTGATGGTCCATCCAGCACTGTCCTCCTCCAGTGGGCTCCTGCCTTGAGGAGGAAAGAACTGTGAGTAAACCCAGATGATGCTATTTTTGGGCACTGACCCAGTTTATGTGGAAATGCTGTCCTGGGGGGGCTCAGAGCCAGCACTCACCCACCCCCAGAGCAGCCACATTTCACACCTGGAACACGGTTTGGAGCCCCTGACAAAGGTCACCCAACATCCCACCGGGCTGGGGAAATGCCTTTTTTCATGTCCAGGAATAAAAGCAAGGNAGGCTTCTGTCCAAATTTCTGTCACATTTCCCCAAACCTGCCCTAATACACCCAAGAACATCATTTAAATATGGATAAAAACAGTACTGTTTTTTTTAATGGAAAACTTAATCAGTGTAACATTAGGGATCTCCAAATACTCCATTTAGAATCAATACTCTGTGTGCCACCGAGGTTTGCACCAACATAATTACAGTATGAAATAGGCCTTATGACTTTGGGGTCACTTCTGCCCCTTCTGACCTTTTAGGACCAGGGGCAAAGCTCCTTTTTCCCTGCCATTTTTGGGTGAGTTTGAGGAAACCTGTGGTTTGCCTGGTTAAAAATGTCAAAAATCATGTCAAACCTGTAAGGGACCTGCTGCCTCTGCCATTGGGTTCCAAACTGCTCTGGCCAAGGGATTGATGGTCCATCCAGCACTGTCCTCCTCCAGTGGGCTCCTGCCTTGAGGAGGAAAGAACTGTGAGTAAACCCAGATGATGCTATTTTTGGGCACTGACCCAGTTTATGTGGAAATGCTGTCCTGGGGGGGCTCAGAGCCAGCACTCACCCACCCCCAGAGCAGCCACATTTCACACCTGGAGCACGGTTTGGAGCCCCTGACAAAGGTCACCCAACATCCCACCGGGCTGGGGAAATGCCTTTTTTCATGTCCAGGAATAAAAGCAAGGGAAAAGGCACAAAACAGCTGCAAAGAAAATCCAGCTGCAGACATGGAAGCAGAAACTGGGATTTCCTGGATCTCATGGAATCACAGAATGGTTTAGTCTGGAAGGGACCTTAAAGCCCATCTCATTCCACCCCCTGGGGTGGGCAGGGACACCTTCCACTATCCCAGGTTGCTCCAAGCTCCATCCAACCTGCCTTGGACACTTCCAGGGGTGGATCTTGGACCCAGACAGGATCCCTGTCCATCCTGAGGCTGCTCCAGAGAGGTTCCAACACTTGTTAAAAATCCACATTGACCTCCCTGTCCTGCATGACCCCAAGATTCACCTCCCTAAACGCAGCTGATGCTTTTCTTCCCAACATTGTCTTTACAAACTCATCCAAATTATAAGATGCCACCAATGTGCAATTGCCAGCATTTAAATATATATAAATCTTAAATATAGCGCTGCTTAAACCAAGGACAGGGTATTATTTCAGCAAGCAGCCTCTTACTGCTTATCCAACGCTATATAATCATGGATGTGCACTATGGCAGGAAGAACAATGGAGCTTTCATGGGATCTGGAGCAGCCCAGCATCTCCAGGGGCACAGGTATGTGATGGAGTCCCCATTCCACCAGGAGTGCCATCCATCCCAGCTCCTGCAACAACAGCACATTGTTCCCTGCTCTAATGTGGGCAAGAAAAACAGAGCCCTCAATTGTGCTTGTCACAATGCACATATAATTTATAGTAATGTTGGTTATTAAAGGATTTCTAGTGATTAACAGCAATGTGCTCTTTCACTGCCTTCCCCCCCCCCTTTTTTTTTCCCCTGCCTGTCATAATAACAAACATTCCTGGGAGATGCTCTGGAACACATCCTATAGGTCTTGGCAGAAAAGCTGAAGAGAAGCTTTTGAAAGCCTGCCAGTCTTATCTGACATGGATCTCCCAGGTACTATAGGAAGCCAAATCCTCCTGGGTCCAGGAGGACTGTGGGTGGTCAGAAGGGCACTGGAGCCTCCTCCCCAAGCCAAACTGCAGCCAGGACTGGGGGAAAAAGGGACCAGCCCTGCCACTGTGTCCACACCAGCACCCTCAGCACCATCAGCAGAGCCCAAACCTGCAGGCACAGACTGAGGGTGCTCCAGGTTTTCAGGAAGGAAAATCCATTTCATCATTTTCTGTCCTTAATTTTTTTTTTTCATCTCTAGTATTTTGTATATTTCTGGTCAAAAAGAAGGATGCAGGGGTCAAAATATAAAATTAAATCACGAATAAATGAAACGTAATATTTTCACAAAACAAATAATTACCACTTATATAATGTTGCAACAGCTTGATTTATAGATTATTTTAGTGACTCAGAAATGGGGTGGAGAAATGGACCCCCCCCTGCTGCCTCAATGCCAAGGGGTGGTGGAGCCTGGGGGGACAAACTGCACCCCCATGTCACTGCCAGGGAACAGGAGCACGGGGTGTCTGAGCCCAGCCAGAGAAACCACCACGAAACTGCTGTGCCACAACTGCCAAAAACTAAAACGCCTCATAAAATCAGGCTGGGTTTGCTGGCAGCTGATTTTGAAAGGAACCAGGGGGAAAAAAAAGTTTTGACAACATCAGAATGTCCCGTTTCCTTTGTTTTGATGACATTGCCACGATTTTCCAGTTCAAACCAACTTTGCATTTTACTCTTGCAAATGTTACACTCTGTGCAGTAACACACTGTGATGGGAGCTTGGACCCTCTTCAAAATGGAAAAAGCTAAAATCAGAACAAGGCGTTTTGATAAATCCGAAGTTTAAAAAAAAAAATAAAAATGTTTGAAGCATTTTCCTCCACGGAGAATTTCCCAGGTGCTGGATTCCACCTCCCCAGACCTCCCTGGCATCTTGAAACCCTTCCTGCAGGGGGTGTGATCTCACCCAGCACCTCGGCACGTGCCCCCATCCTGCGGCTGTGGCAAAGCCCATCCCGGTGGGTGCAACCACTCTGTGCCACCTCTCCTGGGATGTAGAATCATAAACCAGTTTGGGCTGGAAGAGACCTTAAAGGTTATGGAGTTCCACCCCCTGCCACGGGCAGGGACACCTTCCACCAGCCCAGGTTGCTCCAACCTGGCCTTGGACACTTCCAGGGATCCAGGGACAGCCACAGCTTCTCTGGGCAACCTGTGCCAGGGCCTCCCCACCCTCACAGCCAACAATTCCCTCCCAATATCCCATCTAACCCTGCCCTCTGGCAGTGGGAAGCCACTCCCTGTGTCCTGTCCCTCCATCCCTTGTCCCCAGTCCCTCTCCAGCTCTCCTGGAGCCCCTTTAGGCCCTGCAAGGGGCTCTCAGGTCTCCCTGGATCCTTCTCTTCTCCAGGTGAACCCCCCCAGCTCTCCCAGCCTGGCTCCAGAGCAGAGGGGCAGCATCACACCCACCCTTGGATCTGCTTGGGGCATCCCTGATGTGTGACAACACCATGGCCACTGTGGCATGGGCTGGGAGCATCCACATGGCTTCTGCTGCATTCCCAGCGGGAGCAGAGCCGCAGGTCTTCTCCCGGACAACCTGGGACATCTCTTGCCTTGCCAGGAGATGCCCATTTTGCTGCCTTTAAATCCCAGCCCAGTGATTAGTTTTGCGGTGGCACCACGGTAGGTGCTGCATTTGCTGCCCATGGACCTCGGGGGGTGAATCGGGGCCACAGCAGCCAAACTGCTCAGGGATGAGTAGAAAGGAAGTATCCTCCAAAACTGATGAGAATCAGGAAGAAGAAAAAAAGAGACAAAATCCAACAGAAATTTGCCAAATGCCTCATTTCACCAGGAATTAAAGTTAATGGGTTAATGGAAACTCCACAAGGCAGGAGCTGCTGAGTTTCCAGGCTTTTCAAGGCCCTTCCCACGAGTATCTGCTGTGGGTGGGGACAAGCTGACTCACAGTTTCCAGGGCTGTAGTAACATTTCAACACCCCGGCGCTCCAGCCTTGGGGACTGATGGCAAAGAGCACATTCCCAGCAGAGCAGTTGGGAAGTTTTTTTGACAAAATGTTTTCTTGGGTCAGAAAAACGTCAGTTTGGCAAAACCAAAACTGGTTTGGTTGTTTTCTGTTGTGTTTTGGGTTTTGGTTGTTGTTTTTTTTTTTCGGTAGCAAACTACCAGTTTGCTGCTTGGAAAAGTTTTCTTGGGAGAAAGCCTGGATTTCTAGTCAAACCCACAGGGGGAAAATCATCTCCCAACTGGTCCTCATGGGTGGTGATGGCCCCTATCCATAGTGGTCCCCATCCCAGGACAGGCCCCTTGCCTGGAGCAGGGACATGGATTTCTTTAAATCCCTTCTAGGTGGAGCTGGGCCAGTTTGTATAAATAATTAATCAGTTATTCAGGGAGAAAGAGTCCAGCTTTAAGGCTGGAGATGACAGCCCTGAGATCTTGGGTTCAGTTCCCTGGTTTGGGGCAGGACAAACGGATTAAAAGCCACAAGTCAGGGAGTGCCACGAGTACAGGATTATCCCCTGTGCTGCTGCTTTCATTTTTAGGAAAACAAACTCAAGCCATCCCAGAAAAGCCCTGCTGCAATCCAAGGAAAGCACTGGTGTCTCAGGTTTCCTAGGACAGGAAGGCTGCCCTCATCCAAACCCAGTGCCAGCTTCCACAGCAGAAAAAAGTGTTTTTCTCCCCTTAATAGAAGATTAATTTTAATTCTTTTCCCATGGGAGAACAAGCCAAAGGGACACCTTGGCTCTTGGTCAGTCATAGGGTGACTATGTCAGTCACACAGTGAAACATGAAGCAGGTGGAGCATCTTCTCCTATCTTTCCCAATGGTGCTGAAAATCCCATCTGGGAAGACCAATTCTCCCTGAGCAGCCTCAGACACCTTCAGAAAATCCAGAGTCACCTCAGCAATGCAGAAAAGGATGAAGAGCTCCATGAAGTGTGGAGTCCTTCCCTGGAGACATGGGGAAGGTGATTGGCAGCCCGTGGGCTTTCCACTGGCCACGGACGCGGGGCTGCCATCAGACCTTCCATGTCTTCCCTGGTGCCACTGACAGGGATTTTCCATGTCCTTTTGAATAGATGATCCAATAAAACGAGGCATATGAGTGGAGAGGATGAAGGCATTGATTCCTGAGCCTCAATCCAGTGCTTTGTCCAGGAGGATTTCCTACCTCGTGGTTGACTGTGAGCCTCCAATGGATTCCATGGGTGTGAGCACCGGGATCGGCTCCCGGGACTCGCACGAGGAGGTACCGGAGCAAGATCCTTCCAGCAGGAAGGAGCCCACAAGGAAGATGGAGAGGGAACTGGGACAAGAGCCTGGAGAGACAGGACAAGGGGCAATGGCTTCAAACTGACAGAGATGAGGGTCAGATGGAGTATCAGAACAAAGTTCTTGGCTGTGAGGGTGGTGGGGCCCTGGCACAGGTTGTCCAGAGAAGCTGTGGCTGCCCCATCCCTGGAAGTGTCCAAGGCCAGGCTGGATGTTGCTCTGAGCAACCTGGGCTAGTGGAAGGTGTCCCTGCCCATGGCATTAAAGATGATCTTTAAGGTCTCTTCCCACCCAAACCATTCTATGATTCTATAAGGTGGAGAAGGGGATGGGGAGGAAAAGTCCCATTTAGCCACTCCAAGGACGGTGCAGCCTCTGAGGGTGCTGCAGGAGAGAGATGGATACACTGAATGCAGCCACCCACCTGCATGACAGCACTTTGGGGATCTCCAGACCCACAGAAACTCTTCATCTCCCTCAGCCTCATCCCCTCCCTCCCCAGCTGCAGGAGGACCAGCAGCCACCGAAAACCCCTCTGGCTGGAAGAGCTGAGCAGTATCACACAAATATCACATAAACCAGCTGCTCTGCTCCAAAGGAAGGGAATTACAACCAGAGGAGCCATCTAAAAATCACACCACCCCTCACAAGCACGCAGGAGTTTGTCCTTTTATCATTTATCCAGCAGCCTGTGGAGACAGTCTGCCTTTCTGGAGCCTTTTCCAGGCAGATAACACCCAGTTCTGAAACTGCCCTTTACTTTTCTGTTGGCTTGGCTTTGGTGAATTGTCATTTTTGAGCTGGAAAGGGACTATTTGAGTAAGAAAAACAGCCCAGCTCTGTGTGTGCTGCCACCACGCCGATCCAGCAACAAACTGTGGAATGTGCCAAGCCCAGTGTCCTTAAAAAAGATAAATTTCCCCCTCTCCATGTTTACCCAAACAATTTGCAAACACAAAACTGGAAGTTCCTCGGGCGGGGGGGAGGATTAAAAAAGGGATTATTTTTTTTGGAGCTAGTCCAGAGAGCAAAGGGATTATATGTAAATATATATGTATGTATGTATGTATGTATGTATGTATATATATATATATATAGGTCCAAAATGGATTTTAATTGAGGTTTGTTGTGTCCAGTGGTGTTCTGCTACTAGAAGGAGCTAAAAACACAGTGGAGTTGGAGGAGAAGGGAGGTTGACCTCAAAGCAGACCTGAGAAAGGTCAGACCTAAATGGCAACCTGTCCATTTATGCAATAGTTTGCTCTCCTCTTTCTGAGGGTATTTTCTGGGAAGGGCTGGTCCGAGCCAACTAGGGCAGGCTTGTAAAAAGATAATTTTTCTCCCTCAGAAAACACAAAGACAGACAGACTGGGCTGCTGGCTTTTCTCCCTTCCCAAGATCTGCTGCCCTGGGCAATTTGCTGTGTTGCAGCAGCTCTTTGCTGGAGTGACTGAGTGGCGTCTGGGCCGCCCCAGAGCAGACGCCAGTCACTCCAGCAAAGAGCTGCTCACCACAGCTTTGGTAAATATTTTCTGCAGTGGTGCAGCAGCGTCTGACAGAGCAGCACTGTTATTTCATAGGCATCTCCAATAATAACTCGGGGAGAAGCAGCCACAAGACATGAGCAAAAGCTGCTGCCACTGACCAGAACTTTAGAGAAGCAGGAACAGAAGTGGGAAGAGAATAGAAATAGTGAGTGAGTCACTGGCTGGAGAGGCTGAACCCAGCAAGGGAAGATTAAAAAAGACAGGCTTCAAAAGCCGGTCCCGGGACGCGGCTGCGGGATCAGCACGCACTGAGCTGATGCTTCCCCAAATTTCTTGCAACCTCAGAATGGGGACATGAAAATCATTATGGGAGAAAGAGAATATTGTCTTGTTTTGAGCCTGGACCAAAGGGAGCCAGAGGCACTCATTGCTAAAGAACCAAAACTGCATCTCCTCCTGTGTCGAAACTGTGTTTTGAGTGTCTCTGCTGGCAGCGGGATCTCCAGGGCTTGCTCATGCAGAAGTATGTGAAAATAGAAAGCAGGATTAGGGAGGAAAGGAGCTGACCCCGAAGTCATTGGCACTGCTGGGTGTTACTGAGAGCAAATCACCCTTAAATAGACACCAGGACACAGCAGGACACGGTTTGGCCCAGCAGTAGCACAGTTGTTACTTCGACACCCGGCACAGGCTTTGCTGAGAATGGAGATGGTGTTAGAAGCCAGTCGGGTCTCCAGGGAATCTTCTCCATCCCATTGCCACACCATGGAATGAGAAAACCCCTCTCTGAGCAGGCACCCTCAGGGGTTGGTCCTTCTATTGGTCTCCAACTGTGCCGAGAAGCCGTCTCTGTCCAGGAATCTGCTGGCTCTGACATCCCAGGCTGTTGCGAGATGATCAGAAGCAGCAGCTCCTTCCCTAAGGCTCTGTGGGTGCCAGCAGCACCTCTCCCTGCTGGGAGCCATCCTGGCCACCAGCACGGCCCCACATGGGCATGCCAGGCAGCTCTGGGGGTGCAGGTCCTCTCTGCAGACCCCTTTCCATCCTTTGGGCACCATGACTGGGATTTTCCATAGCTGGACATGCATTTATGACACTAAACTCTTTCACTGGTACTTTGGTGAGTCAAGCCCTTGGAGGGTGTAAACTGGTGTAGCACCTTTCACCTTCCATGGACAGTTCCCAGCCAAAATCTGACCATTATTTACCTTCTTAGGTGGGTGATGACCTGGGACCATCCCTCACCATCCAGCCTGATCCGTCACATTGGCCCTTGCCCACCCTTCCCAAATTCAGCCCATGTTAGAACCGACCTGGCACAGGGATGGAAAACTGACCTGCTGGCTGGAAACAGCTTCCCATGACCCATCAGGCTGTCCTGGAGTAACGTGGGATGAGAAGGAGAGGATGGAGCGCTGCCAGGAGCAGAAACTTGGTGATGATACCTGATAGGAAACAAATTTTACATAAGGTGAGTGGGTTTTAGTTCTCAGCCTCTTTTTATTCACTGGTAAATGATTGATGCTCAGTGATCAGATGTGGTGAACCAAGACCAAACATGTAAGGAGAGAGAGAGGAAAGTGTAGAAGAGCTTGGTTGAGGGATTGGGTGTTGGACCTGCAGGAATCAGGTCCCAGTAATTCTTGTCCCACTTTTCATGGGACCATCTCTCTCTTCACTGAGCTTCACCCAGCCCTGTGGTGGGACAGCAGCTGCTCAACAGCAGCTAAGGACAACAGTCATTTGGAAGGAAAGACAATAAATTGTGCTGCATTAAAAAGAAGAATCCCCAAATCCAGGTTAGGACCTGCCAACACATCCCAAAGCCACCTCCAGCTGTGCCCACAACCCCTCCTTGTGACACCAGGTGTGTGACAATGACCCAGATCTCAGTGAGGACCATCCCTGTGCCCTCCACACACACGTTCCATGGGCAGGAGCACAGGGTGACGTGAGCCATCCGTCCCCACACGGGTTATTCCATCCTCATCAGCCAAACAACAAACACTCCTCCTGCTCCTTAAACCACGGTGGCATTTTTATTAGCTGAAGTTTCCTCCTCCTTTTCCCCCCCCCTCCTTTTTTATGGCCTTATCCACAAATGCTGAGAGCCAGAGGGAATTATTTGTTACTTACATTAAAGCAAGAAGCCATCAGACCACAGCCCCACAACCACTCCCCATATCATTATTTTCTTCTTTTTGGATTTCTATGAAGCTCATTATTAAACCTTAGCTAACACAGACATCCTAACAATGCACCCAGTGCTAATAACTGCTAAGCAGCATTATTAATTATTGTAATTATGGCATTTAAAATCTATTCTGATGATATTAAAGAGAATACTTTCCTACTTTTCCAACCAAGAAAAAAAATCCACAAATGTAGCTTATTAACACTAATTCTATTCATATTGGTAAAACTATTGTTAGATTTCAAAGGCAGCTGGTCTGGGCCCTAAAAAATAGATCATGCTGGGATGGCAGGGCATGTTCCCAAACTCTGGTGTGGCTTAGCTGGGGTGGGGACTGGAGGGAGCTTGGCAAGATGAGGAATTCAAAGCCTGACAGCCCCCAGTTAGGAGGGGCATAAATCCATAAATCTATAAATCCATACACCCCTCTTACAAATTACATCCCCCCATAACCTACATCCCCCCTTCCATCCTCCCTAGAGCCAACTGCAGTGGGGTCCATACAGGCTTGGAGAGCCAGGATCACCTTTCCAATGGGTGGTTATGTGCAAAAGCTGGGAATAGGAATGGCAGGAAGCACCTATAGGCTCACCTGTGGTGAGTTATGGGCACAACACAGGGCTGGGATCCTGTGACAGCCTCTCTCATCACTGACCCTTTCTCCTAACGTTTGGTGGAATTATTCATGCTGAGCCCAGACACCCAAATGGCCACATAAACACCGAGCTGCCCTTTTAATTAAAGATGTGCCGAGATAAAAAGCTGCAGAAAACAATTTTCAACAATTAAAAATAATATTAGAGGTGTTTGTCTACCCAATCTGCATGTGTCCTGAGCAGCTCAGGGGAGGCTGGCTGCATTTTTACAATTGTCAGGACTTTTTGGAGCGATTCCCTTCGCTCCACGGGCAGGATGAACCCGCGTCCAGACGTCTCTTTGCTCCAAAGAGTTAAGATTTCACTTGTCAGGCTGTTTTTGTTTCTATTCACATGTCAGTGCCTGTCATTTATTTAGTCAATGGGACATGTCCAAGGGATGGAGACAGACTGGGTTAGTCATTCTGACCGTGGGTCGCCAGTCACTGCAAACTGCCTGAGGTCATTTCCAAAAGCGCCACTAACAATGAGAGGGAAGCTGGGCCCGGGAGACCTGCAGGAAACGCCGTGGAGATTAAAGACAGAGATAGTCCTTTGCAAAAGTACACTGGAGGAATGTTCCCTATGTTCTGTCAACAGAGTTTCTTCCTCGCTCAAGACTGTCTATTTTAAGTCTGAGCCCGCACCAAAAATGGAAATCCTTGCTCCATGGCTATCAGTGGATCTTGGGTTTCTGGGGCTGCCGCAGCGCCACGGCCGAGGAAATGAACCCTCCAGCTCGGCTGCGCTGCTGGAGCAGCTTCAAACAATCCCTCCTCGTGGCAGCTCTGTGCTGGTTGGAGCACAGGTTGTAAAACCCAGCTGGAGCCCATGGCACCGCCCAGCGTTGTCTCTGAGCATTGTCCCCACCGGTGTCCCCCAACATCCCCCCAGAGCACAGAACCCCAGAATGGATCAGGTTGGAAGGGACCACTGGTGGGGTCATCTGGTCCAACCTCCCTGCTCAAGCAGGGTCATCCCAGAGCACGTGGCACAGGATTCCATCCGGCACACCGGCGCAGGAATGGCACCTCAGCCCACGTGGCAGCAGAAAACCAAGCAGGGCTGCCAGGGTCACAGCTCAGGCTCCATCCACACTTCCAGGACTGCTTTAAGGAAGGGACTGGAAAAGGAGCGATGAAAAGAAGTGTTGAAATGCACCCATAAGGATTTGCTGCAGCGTCTTGGGCTGAAATGGAGCCCCGTGACTGCAGATTTGGGGGAACGGGAAATTCCTCTGGTCCCATCTGGGCATTAGGGCAGGGTTGGAACACAAGAGCAGCTTTGGGGGCAGAGATGCACTTTTTGCTTTTTAAGCAGAACAGTCCAGGCTGCTCTTACTTAACACACAAGGTACCTCTGGGTGTTTTGGAAAACATTAATAACAACCACATGATTGGTGTAAAACGCTGATTTTTCCATCCAGACACACTATTGTTTTCAGATAAATACATTCCATCGAGCTTTTTTCTATCTGGACTTTCTGCATCTGTGGCTTTTGCATCTCGGGCAGACGGGAACAGGGGTTTGACCACAGTGGTGGCCCAGGAGGAGCCACCAGATCCCGCTGGCTTGGGAATTAGGGACGGGGGCTAAACTGCCCTTGGTGCGGGTATGACTGGTGAGGTGGGACAGGGGCTGGAGGTAAGGAAGGGTCAGGAAAAGGAGCTGCACAGTGGATCTGAACTGCTCTTCAGAGATAGAGAAAAGCAGAAAATGCATTATTTTAGGATACAAACATCCATCACCGACACACACACGAGAGTATCCAAATTCCTCAGCGTGGTATTTACGAAGCCCGTTCGCAGACACGACACAGGCCAGCTCCTGGAGATTTTTCCACGTGTCGTTAAAGATTCAAATTACAGGGGCAATTTGGAGCCTTTGAAGCCATTGGTGTCGGTGCTGCCGAGCCCGGGGGCTGCTCCAGGCAGGGTCTGTCTGTGCTGCAGCCCGGAGATAACGCAGAGCCACCAGCGCCGAGCCCGGAGCCAGGAGCGGGCCAGGAATGACGTGAGGAGGCACTGGGGGGAATTTGCTCAGCCTGCAGATAAGGAAAGCATCCTGCTCTGAGCACGGGGTAAACAACTTTTAATACACAAGCGAGTTATCTGCAGAGTCCCACGGGAGGAAGCGGATCTGGCCGAGGCTCTGCTGCGCGGTGTGACACGGCACGGAGCGGGGATAGACACCCAGCCCCGGCTTGGGGGAGCCTGGGAGGTTTTGGGGAGCCTGGCTGCTCAGGGGTGCTAGGGTCAAAGCCCAACCAGCTCGCAAAAGGGAATGGAGATCCATGGATTTGCCTCCAGGAGGAGGAACGGCGCTCCTGGTCGTCGGTGGCCTTGTGGTTGCACAGGTAGGGCTTGAACCAAACTGTTCACCAAACAGTTGGGCAAAACCAGAAAGGCTCCAAAAAGAGACTTAAACACTCTTTCTCAACACAAAACTGCCAACACCAATCATTTCCCCCACTGATTACACAAAACACTGAAAATCAGGTGTGTTTTCATTGATAAGGCCAGGAGAGCACTCCTGGGCTGGAGAAGGCCAGTTCTCTCATCATGGCATGATAAGATTTGGGAGAAATTTGGGAGATCACAGCCACTCCCTTGTGCTTCTTGTGTAGCTGCAGGGTTCATCTCCCTGCAGAACAGAGGGCTGGGACCTTGATGAGCATCACCCAGGTGGCATCTCTGTCTGGGGACAGGCAACTGAGGGAGGAGCTGCTCTCCAGTTCAGAGCCTGATTTACAGCAGAGGCCTCGGGCAAATCACTTACTGGCTTTGTGGTTTCATTTCCCCATCTCTAGAATCTCCTTCACGGGTGATGTGTGAGGGGGAATTAACAGTCAAACTTCGTTTTTAATAAATATTTCAAGAGTTGCCTCGTGTTTTATGAATATTTCTGAATGATCTTCCTGCCCTTGCATAAGGGTCTCTCCCTGCCAGCTCTTTAATCTCAGCTCCTCTCCCTGGAGTAGAGTGATGCCTCTGCTGCAGATTTGGGCTTTCATTGAGTAACAATTAAGCTGCCCCAGTTAAATGTAAAGGCATGTGAAGAAAGTTCTGTGCTGGATGCCAGCAGGAACCACCAAACCAGAGGGTTCCTCTGCAAAAACTGAACCAAAGCAGCGCCCAGCACACGACGAGCTCCGAGCGACCCCCAGTACTCCAAAATTCTCCATTTATACGTGAAGCCTGACTAAAAACTCTGTTTTCACCAGTCCAGTGTGATCTGGAAGTGAAAGCACGGGCTTGAAGCTCCTCTGAGCTGAGGCCAGTGGAAATTCCATGTGGGTTTGACCCCAGGACTGCGCACGCTTTAGTCTCTGCCTGTTTATTGTTACACTCATTAAAACCATCGGGGATTTTTTGCATCTTAAAAGTCTTTTCTGACTTCATAAAATATGTGAATGCTTAAGAAAGAATCCGTGTGCAACTGTATAAGTAGTGACTAATGAGTAGGAATTTTGTGCCGTTCAAAGGGAGCGAAAGGAGCTGACGAGCTGTGGCCTAACGAGTTAATTTGCCTCCAGCCTGCCTGGTGCCCAGCTCACCCTCCCTCAGACATCCCTGGTGATGGCTCATGAGCTCCTCCGCCCACATGAGTGATTTTA